CTCCCCAAATGCCGCGATCCTCACCCCTGATAAATTACCAGCAAAAACAGAACTCGGTCATTTTTTATGACACAACGACCCCCTCTGTCCCCCCACCATTTTTGGGTGAGTGAGTGAGTGAGAATGGTTTTACACTGCTAATAGCAATATTCCGGCAATATCACAGTGGGGGACCCCAGAAATGTGCTTCACACATTGTACCCATGTTGGGAATCGAACCCGGGTGTTTGGTGTGACAAGCGAACGCTATAACCACAAGGCTACCCGACCGCCCCACCACCATTGTTGGAAATATTTTGGCGACCCCACTCTTTTGCTGTGTCATTTTTTCATGACTTCCCCCAATCCCTACCCCTCCTCTAATCTTACTGGCACCCCCCTCCCCTATTATTAATTATCAGTCCCCAGTAGCTGTGATGAAAGCTTTTTCACAGACATTAATCACACTATTACTGTGCTTCAAATGTACCTAGCTATGTTGAAAGTGGTTCTTTTAGTTTTTTAAGACGTCAGTCAATCTTGGCAAATATTTTTCATGAGAGATGTATATGTAAAATATAGGTTAAATCTATTGATTTTTCCGAAACTGAACAATACGGGGCCAAGCAGAGATAACTGAACATATCACTCACATGTGAGTGAGCAATATATTGTCTACAGCCTGACTACTCAATATATTTATGAGCATGGTTGCATCTAAAAGAATCACTGCTGCCAAGAAGACAGCTTGGTACAATTTAAATATACTACTCAAAAAGGTTTAGGAACACCTGATTCTTTCAAATTACATTAGTTAATCTATCATGCCATTACAGATAAACTGCAGTGATAAAAAGAATCTGGTGATCCGAAACTTATTTTACGAGAAGTGACATGAAAAAAATGGGGTGATAATTAATTTAACTGAGATAGGTATTGGTAATATATTTGTCAGGTACAGTTATTGTCAAAATGAAAGGAAGAGGTAAGGTGAAATAGGGTTTAATGTCACGTCCAAGATTATTGCACTTATATAGCGTGATTGAAGACATGCTTCAACCAAGTCAGAGAGACTGACCACCCGATTCTGTTAGTCGCCTCTTACGATAAGCATAGTCACCTTTTATGGTAAGCATGGGTTGCTGAAGACCTATTCTACCCCGGATCTTCACAGGTCTACTTTATAGGCATATTGGGTAGTCATTCACTGTGTTAATAGTTTCACACATGGAGAATAAATAATAGTTCAACTTTTTTTTAAATAGTTTCACCACATATTGACACATATGTATGTAAGAAAACATCACACTATATTTGTGAGTATGCTCTTTTTTCTGAGCATAGAAAATGGTAATATAATAACCTTGATCATTATGTTTTTCTTGTAATGTTTCTGAAGTGTAACAATCCATTGATGATGTCATACAGGGCTGATGTATGATGTCACACGTCAAGGTTACATTACAGTGGTCAGGGTTTAAAGAACATGATGGCACTACTTCCCTTTCACCTTTGTCGTATCAATACACGACATATCGTAAAATGGGTCTTGGTTGGTGCATGTCATCATATCCCCAAAACAATGGATCAATGCTCATGATGTCAATCACTGGATTGTCTTGTCCAGATTTTATTTATTTACAGACAGCCATCATCCATCCAGAATTTTGCTGAGTGTGACGTTAAACAACCCATTCTAACCTGAATTTCCCTGACGTCTCATAGAGGTATTTTAAAAACATAAATTACCTGTGAAGGTCCTCATTAGAATTTGTCTTCAGCAATCCATGCTTGTTGGAATCGGGTGGTCAGACTTGCTGACTTGGGTGATGGACGTCATCATATCCCAGTTGCGTAGACCGCTGCTGATGATGCTCAACAAACAAACTTACACCAGTAAAAGTCATTAACCTGATACCGACAGTGATGTGTCACGACCATTCCACTTCTCATTGGTTTCACCAAAGTTGTGACCATCCAAACCCTGCACCAAATTGACACTCACTTTCTCACCCTCCCATTGTGATTCAGTCTGTCACTCATGTCATTATGAGTACAGAAACTCCAAGACCTCATTCCAAAAGCAATCTCTGTTCTCCCACTGTCCCGAGTCCCGTACTTTGACATAGACGTATGATGGTCATTACGCTAAGATCCTTTGTGGACCAGAACTCTGGAGATTCTAATTGTGAGATTGACACCTGTCTCCTGGTGGCCTGCGAGACTTGACATTTTGTATTCCAGTCATGGCAGATATATCAAGAAGCAATTTTCCAAACTGCAGAAAAAATGTCAGATCCACAAGTAGTGGAACCTGTTTGGCTCCAGTGATAATTTGTTTCACAAAACAAAACAGTTTGAATGTTTAAAAAACAGGCGTTTAACATCGTTTTCTAATTCCCTTGATCTCTGAGGGCACAGAAGAAGCTTGCAAGTTCTGTGTCTCTATCATTTGTGACTGTCTGAAGTGATGGATGCATCATTTAAAGGAAATACAAAAATATGAGAGCTATAGGTTCTGAAGCTCACCCTTCGCAATGATACTGTATTGGGAAAATGCGTTACAGTGACACAGCACCCTGAATCCCCTGTTTGAGGCATATTGAAGATGTTTTATTATAAATAGCATTATAAAAGCATATGGCAAATAAATATCTTCAAGGAAAGACAACACAAATACAAAAGGCCAACCATGTATTATGGAAAACGGCTTATGTTATTTTTCCTCCCCTGAAATCTCATCAGCTTAAAATGCTGGACCTGCCTAGCACTGATTTTTGGTTGGGAGAGTAATGGGTGCTGGATAGACATTAAGATAATCAACAACTATTAAAAGACATCTTACATCTTTTTTGTTCCTAAATAGTCATTTCAGCAAACAATAGCCTATATAGGTACATGTGTAATCAATATAAATGAAGTTCATTACAGAAGTAAATATTTGGTTTCATAAGTGACAGTGTTATAGATAATTTATATTGGGTATTAAATATGCCATTAAGAATTCATATTTTTGGTTTTTAAGTTGTGATGCATTCACTTAGTCATCAAACTCTCGTCTTGATAGAAGCAAAAATCTAGAAAGGGACCAATACTTGACACTTTTAAGGAGTGCCATTCCTGGAGTTGACAGGGCTCATTGAAACATGGAAATAAGGTGTCTCCTGCCTCATGATAAAACTGATAACACCAGCTAGCTACAGATGTTGGAAAGTTAGACCGTGGTCGGCCTCGTGGTGGGCCTTTAAAGTCTGGAAAACTTTTAAAGATCTGGACCATTGAGCTGTATGCCTTTTTCTGGGCTAATTTAGTGTGTACAGCGTGAGGGATATTGCAGAGTTCAACAACCTTTGTTAAATGTTCCTAATAAAAGCTTTGCCATGAGGCCACTCTTTTTTAATTTTATGTTTCACAGATTTTTTCCAGCTTTTCCACACAAGTCATTCTGACGTGGAATTAAAACTGCGATTGGCTTCTGGAATTACTGATGTTGACATGAAATTTATAGATAACATTTTATATTGTGTAAAAGGGTCTACATTACTAGCGGGAGACATAACAAAAATAAATATTTTGATATTTGATTTCTTTCTTTTCCGGCTGCTTTTCGTAGGGGCGGCAGGCCCATGAAAATATAAAAAAATGTGTGGCCTTTTATGGCTGTGGACATTTCATTTACCCTTTCTTTTCTGAGCTCCATGTCATAGACACCCAAAAGGGAGTACTTTTTAAAGGAATAGTTGTGTCCTGTTTGGGTTTTCTTTTTTAATAATCAAAATTACCAGATCAAGATGGTAAAGAAATGAAGCTGATGTCACCTTCTCTGGAGGTGTCTTCAGATCTTCAGAAAGGTGCCATAATGGAGTTTATTACCCATAGGGAAATTAGCAAATGAATATCGAATGTGCACTAGTGCAAATATAAATCGCACACATCTTCATCCGAACGGCATTGTTGAGGTAATTTGAATTTTGACGTAAGGTTGGAATGACATCAGACTGGATATGACATCAAAGCTGAAGATTGTTGACGTCATTCGACAATTGAGCTTTTCTACGATGGGGGTCGTGATCAGTGCATTTTTCTAAAGGGCAGCTCTGAAGGATCAACAAATAATGTGAAGTGAAGAAATTATTGCATTTGCATGTGTGTCATACTGATTTTACAAAACATTTCCATGGAAGCTTTATATACGTTCTTGTATTTTGCTTCACGAGCTGTGGTCGCAAAATGCACCCTTCTTTTCTGAAAAGCTATATCCAAGCTTGCAGTGATCCTTCTCAAAGTGGTTATACACAATAGTATAACCAGATCTGGAAACACTGTGTCCATCACTGTCAGTGTCCCAGACACATATGTCACATGTGTGTTGTCAGTAGTGTTATCCACACAACTAACAATATGTATGGAGAGGTAATGCATAGACTGTGTTGGAGTTGGGGCTTATTGATGCCAGTAAGGTTTGTTATTAGTGGTATATGTGACAAATAAAAGAATTCGGACACTTTTTTGAGTGCAATACATGTAATTAATGTCTCAGCTAAACCATATAAAAATGTATCAAGCACGGATGTTTTGGAAGTGGAAGGTTGCATTTTGTGATCACATTTGCCAAAAAAAATGTTTTTACCAGATCACATGTCAGTTTCCCAGGAAATGATTTTTTATTCTTCTAAAAGGAGAAATTGCACCTCTGCAACACCCCTATCCAGAGGCCTCTGAATGTGTATAACAATGTATGTCGTTTATATGTTGGTCTGACTATAATTTTGGGATACTATGCAGTGATAAAGATTGTAGTAATAATCTCTTTGCAGTGTTGTGTCCCTTTGGTACCAGGATCCCAAGGTGTATTCTGTAAAGCAGCTTTAAACCTCCCTGCCTCCCTCCTTCACTCCATCACTTACTCCTTGACTCCTCTCACTTTCACACCTTCACTCACTCACTCACTCACAAGCCAGTGAGGTCATGAAGGACATTGTTATTGCATTTGTTCATGTATTTGTTTCTCCCTGTTTCAGGACAGCTGTGAACATCACAACATGAAGTGATCCTGTTACGTTTCATGTAAGTCAACCTAGATAAGCTCAGCTCACTCTATATAATAATGTTTCACACATGGTTCCATGGAAACCAAAAATAAGGATGACCATATCACAGCAAAACATAATTTGTCTCACAACACCTGAAAAAATACCCACATAAATTCTTTAATCAATCTGCTATTAAAAAGAAAGAAACTGTATGACACGAAGCACTGACAACATATTTGTCTCCAGCTGAAACATCCAAGCCCCTGATACTTATTAACGTCAGAATTTTGCATTGTCTGCCCCATACAGTGTGGGAGGGTGCTCATGCTGTCAACCACTGGTTTGACATGCATGCTGTCATCTACCTCAACGCTGTAGCTGGAATAGTGTTATCTGTGGAATATAACAGTGAACAAAAAAGTATAATGATCTTTATTCTCAGAAAGCACAAGTTTCCGGGGATTGCAGTGATAATGATCAAATGTTATTTTAGGCTTCTGCTTCATGACTGTCACTCAATTTTACAGGATGTTGCAAAAACAGCATTTTCAGCATCAACAGACACAGATTTAAATCAATTCACCAAACTGGGTATGAGTATCATACATAAATGATAAGGTCACAGACCACATTGTATGTTGTGATAGGTGAGCTACATGACCCTTGCTGTAGGTTTCTTAAACTACAAATTGAATTTTTGTTGAAATTGTTTCCCTTTTTTAAATCAGCAAAAAACTGTGGAAAATGATTTCTCCAGCAAATCTCAAGGGAAGCAAAACCCTTTCAGCTTGACTGAAAACTTGTAGCCCAGCTGTTCAGGGATGCCATTTTAAACCAAATATTTTAGGGTTCTGTGTACCTAAATGAATATATAATTCGTTTCTATTAAATTATGAGTGAGTGAGTTTGATTTTACGCCACTTTTAGCAATATTCCAGCAATATCACCGCGGGGGACACCAGAAATGTGCTTCACACATTGTACCCATGTCGGGAATCGAACCCAGATCTTCAGCGTGATGAGCCAAACGCATTTAACCACAAGGCTACCCAATCGCCCCTAATTAAATTATGTAGATTACTCATTTTGTATGAATTTCTTTACACAAATAAGTCATCAAAATACACATGTATGCATATTTAAAAACGCCATCTCATTGAGCAATCCTCACATCACACTGATGAAACATCCATCATTACTGTTGTCTATCACAAGTCAGAAAAATATGTGACTTTAAGAACTTCCATTTAAAAAAAACCTGAAAACAATTTGAAATCAGTAGTATCATATGGCCTATAATTTCACATCCTTTGACGAAAACTGTTTGGCAATTTGGGTCTCTCAGGCTTCAAAGGCTGATGAAAAGCAGAACACGAAACAACTCAATGAGAGATGCACAGACGATCCAACATTTCAAGGGCAATTAAAATCTAGGATATCAAGGAAAGAAAAACTATGCTTCCCATGCTGGAGGTACAGAAATTGTCGATCTCATAAGGTGACACTTTCAAAGGCGTCTTTGACCAAAAGTTATGGTGTTGATGCATCCCAATTCCTTATGGTGCCGTTTCAGCGGTTTTCAATTCAAATTGTCAATGTCTATTTTACAAAGGATACTGACATGTTTTTTGTCAGTGAATCTCCTTATTGGCGACCGGAGAATCCTCTGAAATGTATCACACTTAATGAAACGGCCGTCTGGAAATCGATCACGCTGTCTGTCAAAGAAGCCACATCGTTAAGGCACCACCGATGGTCTCTACTCAGCTGCCAATATTAGGTTTCCAATCTGAGAAGTGTATATACACTTTGCGAGAGACACATTTACCAATTCGGTGTAGACTTTTCAGTTTGTAGCTCCTCTTCTTTTGCCTTGTTAAACAGACGTTCTGATAGACCAGATTGGTGCTTCTTGTCGCCATGGTAATTTGTAACCTTATTGACTGAACAGCCCAAAGCAAGTCTATAATCTTAAAGTAAACAGTTTGAAAAACATTTTGTTTTTCACTGTCCTTTCTTGGCAGTTTTGTTCATAAACAACATTTTGTTTTGAAGCAGGAAAAATGTAAGGAGTTCAATTATTATGATCATTTGTTTTAATTTATGTTTATTATATCTTAAATGTTAAGTTGTAAAATTTCTGAAGTCATTTCAAAATACTATCCTGAGTTCTGAGATTATTTGTTTCATTATTTGTACTTATTACCGGCAAAACAAAAATTTTTTTGGTTCATAAATGTAAGTTAGCCTAAAAAAGTAAACAATGCTGTTAGCCCCTTACTTGGGATGAAAGTTTAATAACCTCAAGAAGACAAGCATGGAGAACAGGGGACCAATTATGTCCTGAAATGCCAACAAGAGACCAACATGGGGTACTGGGGACCAATTATGTCCTGAAATACCAAGAATGTCCAGTCAAACCTACAGGGAGACAAGAATTGGGTGCTGAGTATTATACAGTTGCTGTAATACTCTTAAGGCTTACTGAAACTTTTATCCTCAGTAGCAAGAAACATTCTATTGAGGCAACTGTCTCTCCAACCGGTTCAGTGATTGCTGATATAGTGTTAAATCATTGGCTCAAAGCGTTCTCTGAATACAGTTAAAATGCTTTTAAGATGCAACAAGAGACAATAATTGTTCATAGCTGTTGAAGAATTATTTCAAAACTTTTTTAGTTCTGAAAAAAAATACACAGCAAAGGAAAAATGTAAATTAGTTTTAACCCTGAACATGGACTAATTATTCAGGTCCATGCTCTGAATCAGGAGTTCATGTCTGTCTTTTGCGCTAATTTAGAATGAAAATTTCTTGTTGAAATGAGCAAACGATTCACATGGCCCAGTTTATAAGGGGTGTTAATGAAGCAACCCGATATAGGAGGCTGTCTTCAACCTCTTGCATCTCACTGACTTCAACCTCTTGCATCTCACTGACTTCACCCTCACACATCTCACTGTCTTCAACCTCTTGCATCCCATTGACTTCAACCTCTTGCATCCCATTGACTTCAACCTCTTGCATCTCACTGTCTTCAACCTCTTGCATCCCATTGACTTCAACCTCTTGCATCTCACTGTCTTCAACCTCTTGCATCCCATTGACTTCAACCTCTTGCATCCCATTGACTTCAACCTCTTGCATCTCACTGACTTACACCTCTTGCATCTCACTGTCCTATACCTCACACATCTCACTGACTTCAACCTCTTGCATCCCATTGACTTCAACCTCTTGCATCCCATTGACTTCAACCTCTTGCATCTCACTGACTTACACCTCTTGCAACTCACTGTCCTATACCTCACACATCTCACTGTCTTCAACCTCTTGCATCTCACTGACTTCAACCTCTTGCATCCCATTGACTTCAACCTCTTGCATCTCACTGACTTCAACCTCTTGCAACTCACTGTCCTATACCTCACACATCTCACTGTCTTCAACCTCTTGCATCTCACTGACTTCAACCTCTTGCATCTCACTGACTTCAACCTCTTGCATCCCACTGTATGCCGTAGCTATGGTGGTCTGTCAGCTAATACAGGGTCTGTTGGCAAGGACAGGGTCTGCTGTGGCTAGAGGAGGTCTGTTGGCAAGGACAGGGTCTGTTGGCTAGGACAGGGTCTGTTGGCAAGGACAGGGTCTGTTGGCTAGGACAGGGTCTGCTGTGGCTAGAAGAGGTCGGTTGGCAAGGACAGGGTCTGCTGTGGCTAGAGGAGGTCTGTTGGCAAGGACAGGGTCTGCTGTGGCTAGAGGACGTCTGTTGGCAAGGACAGGGTCTGCTGTGGCTAGAGGAGGTCTGTTGGCAAGGACAGGGTCTGTTGGCTAGGACAGGGTCTGCTGTGGCTAGAAGAGGTCGGTTGGCAAGGACAGGGTCTGCTGTGGCTAGAGGAGGTCTGTTGGCAAGGACAGGGTCTGCTGTGGCTAGAGGAGGTCTGTTGGCAAGGACAGGGTCTGCTGTGGCTAGAGGTCTGTTGGCAAGGACAGGGTCTGTTTTGGCTAGATGAGGTCTGTTTGCAAGGACAGGGTCTGTTGGCAAGGACAGGGTCTGTTGGCAATGACAGGGTCTGCTGTGGCTAGAGGTCTGTTGGCAAGGACAGGGTCTGTTTTGGCTAGATGAGGTCTGTTTGCAAGGACAGGGTCTGTTGGCAATGACAGGGTCTGTTGGCAATGACAGGGTCTGCTGTGGCTAGAGGTCTGTTGGCAAGGACAGGGTCTGTTTTGGCTAGATGAGGTCTGTTTGCAAGGACAGGGTCTGTTGGCTAGGACAGGGTCTGTTGGCAATGACAGGGTCTGTTGGCAATGACAGGGTCTGCTGTGGCTAGAGGTCTGTTGGCAAGGACAGGGTCTGTTTTGGCTAGATGAGGTCTGTTTGCAAGGACAGGGTCTGTTGGCTAGGACAGGGTCTGTTGGCAATGACAGGGTCTGTTGGCTAGGACAGGGTCTGCTGTGGCTAGAGGAGGTCTGTTGGCAAGGACAGGGTCTGCTGTGGCTAAAGGAGGTCTGTTGGCAAGGACAGGGTCTATTGGCTGGACGGCTAGGGTTTGGTTTTCCACCCAGACACAGTATGACGAATGGCAGCAAAGGGTTTAAAGGAGAACGCTTAAACAGAAAAGCATAGTGCCGTCAAAACTGAGAAATTGTGTAAAATTGAAGGATTTACACAAGAAGAAAAAAGATATCCATGATGTTGATGAAAGTTTCACTTGTGTCTTTCAACTGCATTTATTGTAAGTTTAAAGAGTTGAGAAACACTTGGGATTGCAAAGTAAACAGTAGTGCAACTGAGGAATGAGAGACTTGATCCTTATTGAAACTTTTTCTTTACAATTGAAAATCCCTTGTTTGTCTCTCTTCTTTTGATTCTCCTACAGGATTAATGTGGAAAAAAGTTCTTATTGCGGAGTGAAACATCTGAAGAGTTTTTGACAGACTTTCAAAAGACAAAAAAAAGTTCAGAAAGTTAAGCATTAAAGTTGAAAAAAAAAGTTTAGAATTCTGGAACAGGGGTTTCTTTTCTGACATATATAA